AGTGAGCTTTCAACACGTTGAAAAGAAAAGTAATCGTTTGCAAGAATCATTGGCTTAATGATTGAGGCAGTAGGTCTCCAAATGAGTGGCTGTACGAAATCCCCGGGAACATCGGGCACTATTAGACGCAGGAAAAAGTGCGTTTTCGACATCCGAATCGGTCGGTTGACTCGCCTTCGTTATGCCACAGAGATTTGACGAAGCTCTCTCCTTGGGAAGTAAACCTACCCAATGAAGCGCTCACTGTCCAAGTGGTGTACTTAGTTACTGCCTGGGTAGATCCGTTTTGCCATCCTGCTGTTTCGGAACACGACGGTGATTCGTTATCACATCGTTCTTTCGAACAGTCCTGCTCCTGGACCCCCCCACGCCCTGAAGCAATTATTCGCACTGATCCGCAACAAATTGGCGAATGAAGCTGCTCTTCGGTTTTGCTGAGATTCGAATCCCCAAAGGTCTGGCACGTGAGATGGGGTGCAAGATGGAAGCACGCGAATCTGAACAGGTGAGCGCTTGAGGTTGGTTTAATGTGAACATAAATTCTAGAAATCCCGAAATAGTATCTCCGAGGATTAAAACAACAGCCCCATCACCAACATTCCAACAAAATGAGCAGCACATTCGAAAGGTTAGTCGGGCACCACATTCGTCCCGTCCTCATTAGGCTATATGCACGGTTAAAGTGAACAGGTAGGTAGATACACCTGCTTGTAATCCGCTTATAATCGTTAAAAAGTTGTTAAAAAAACGCAAAAAAGCAAGGCTGAACGCACAGCACCTCATCAACTAGCCTCATTTGCACCAGTTAACGAGTTAAGATGGCGGAAATGTCACAGAACATATGGACAAAAAATCTCCACAGTGCGTGTGAAATTCGACTATTCTCGTGCGCTGAAAGTTGATCGAGAACGTTTAGTTTGTACAGTGGCGTTTTTCAAAATAAACAAGTAGTCGTAAACGGGTGAAGTCAGACGGAGAAGCATCCGAGCCATAGATTGTACACGTATACTGAGGCTCAACAACGCTTAGTTCGACTGTACTAAGTCCGCTCCTCTACAAGTGAGTCCTGGGTTCGAACCCGAGCTCGTGAGATGCGCGCTGCTGATGGTTCCCAGAAAGAGTAAGGCAGCTGTACCGTGATTCACCCGAAATTCCTACTCAATGGATAACTGGATACGGGTGAAGAGTAGTACCATCGGAGGGGTTCGATCTTCTGTCCGTACTCAGAAATTCCAACATGGAGATTTCACTCCGAAAGACGGAATGAATTCATGCCGGACAGTAGCGTGCAGGAGCCTCGTTAATCAGCTAGGAGCAGTTGCATGTGAAGACGGTTTGACAACAGTTACTCCACAGCTTCTGAAGCAGAAACCTCACAGGGGAATGTCCAAATGACTTCAGGAGTGTTTTCCTAGCCAGTCAGATCACTTAGTTTTTTTCAAGTAGTGTGAGCTTTTTCGAAGCTCCCATGGGAGGGCCATCGTTCAGCTGCAGCAACCTTGAGGTACCTAGCTGCCATGCCACCCGAAGGTTGTAAGAGGGCTGGGATTTTGCCAGGTTGCCCAAGCCTTGAAAGGAGAAGTCGAGATGCGGCAGAGGTCGGGTTCGAATCACGGACCTTCCGGTCAGTAAATTCGCGCTCTAACCACTGGAACGGCCAGTCAACATCGGGTCAAGGCGCGTAAACTGCACGGACGAGTGGAGCGGTGTTTCAACTGAACATCCCTGTTCAGCAGTGCTCAACTTCCGTCCACGGTGATTGCCATTCGAATACGTATTGCTAATGAGTCCCAATAAGGAGTGATCAGCAGTGCAATATGTCTTTAGGATTCCAGCACAGATTGACGTAGCTTTAGAGGGGGAAATCCGAAAGCAGACTGGATATATTCTATGAAAAGAATATCACGGTGCTTAGATGGGAGTGGGTATCTGTTTTCGGATCGGTTCGTCGGGAAACAAGGTAGATGGAACGAGAAACTGGGGTTGATTCATCAGTTATCAACAGTCACCTGGTCTGACTGGTAGTTTGTACAAACCACAGGTTTTGTTGTAACAACCCTGAATAGTAGACCGACCAGATGAGTGACAGGAAACTAGTCTGAATTCAATGGCCTAGCAGTAGAAACACTGGCGCCTAGTTGTCATGTGACCACGGGGAAGAAACGCTAGAGTGAAACGGGGAAAGAACAGAGCCTGAGCCCAAAAAACCCTCGGGGAGGACAACCGACATTGGTGAAATAGAATCGTTTGCAAATTAAGCTAGTGTTGACTAAAATTCGCACGAATCCCTCGTTTATACTATTTTTTTCTTAACTGCAAGATGCAATCAGAACTACAGCCCGGTACCACCAAGGAGGAAGAAACACCGTTCCCGATCGAAGGGGCTGTTTCTTATACGGGAAGGTATGGTACGTTGAATAACTGGGTTCATCGAACCATCGGTTCCGAGAAGTGCTACACAACGCCAGAATGTACTGTCCTACAGTACGGAAGGTCGAGTCCTAAACCAGTATCGAAGCGGGTGCCGGTGTCGGCGGACTGAATTCCTTCCTCCATGAGCTATACTGCATTTGCCGTGGGCGGAAGGACGACAGTATTCGGTTTGTGAGAGATAGAGCATACGGTGCCAAAGCTCAACCGCTATGGATACGCATGTTGATCACGAAACCGACCTCTGCAACTCGACTGCTCCTGCCTAGACTTGGGCAACCTGGCAGTATCTCAGCCCTCGTACTTCTTTCGAGGCAGCCTGGTCCGAAGGAGTGCTACAGCTACCGAGGAATCCCGTCGCCAGGGTCCACGGGAAATCGTACACATGTGTTGTTCAACGGTGGTATCACGTTGGTGATCACGATGACGACGATGCGTGGATATCTGTGAAATCCACAACTCTTTGGGCAACCGGCAGTATCTCAGCCCTCGTACTTCTTTCGAGGCAGCCTGGTCCGAAGGAGTGCTACAGCTACCGAGGAATCCCGTCGCCAGGGTCCACGGGAAATCGTACACATGTGTTGTTCAACGGTGGTATCACGTTGGTGATCACGATGACGACGATGCGTGGATATCTGTGAAATCCACAACTCTCCTTGTACGGCGCTATTAGATTGGTACCAGACCAAGTCAAGTGGCTTTCATGCCAGACCCCCCATAGTGATATACTATGTTTTGTTGGGTCAGGTGCACAAAGGACGTTTGGTCAACCCCACTGACGAGAGGTTCAAATTCCGATATCGTGCTCGGATGTGTCCATCCAGTTCCTGATCGTATCCCTTCATATGAGCTTTAGTTCCTAGTGGTCACATGAGGAACTACCGGTATATTGCTGTCGATGATGGAGGTACGGCGTCCAATAGACATGCTTCCAACCAAGCCGAGGTTAACCCCTATCGATCCAACAAGGAAGTAGACACGAATACAGGATATCTCGCGTCACACGCAGCCACCCTGCTGTGATTATGTACTTTGCAAGGTCGATTTAACCATAGTGACATGTGTCCTCATCGTTCGAACACCAGTACGCGTGGGGATGATTAGTCCGGAAATCGATATTGCTACAAGTTGAACTGGATGGTCAAACGTTGCCTAAGTATTTCAACACTGACACCGTTTATGTAGTAACTTGGCTGAAGGAAAAAGAGGATTTTACAAACGGGCAGTTCACACAGCTAGCGGCAGTTCATTCGATTTGAGCTACAGCTGTGCGCCTTCATCAAAACACATCAGTCTCAGTTTGCCTCCTGACTGTCGAGAAGAGATTGGACCTTACCGTGGTGTGACTGTTTGAGCACCTCGGCGATCCATTGAGCTATACTGGGAAGTGTCTCCGTGACACTCAGAGTCTCTCATATCATACCAGGCAATGGTTTGAGGTCTCTCTCCTGGCTCTTCAGGTTGGGGGTTAGAACATGTGATGACTTGTTCCGTAGAAATGGCAGTCTACTCGCATTTCCCGCCAAGCACCGCTGCCTTGCGGTTAGGCTTTTGAGTCAAAGGCTTTGGTTGAGGACCTTAATCGTCCTCCTGTTCAGGTATGGGCGCCCTGGCAGTATCCCAGCCCTCGTACAACCATGACAACCTGACTGTAAGGATTCTCCATCGTTTTCTCAAAGAACAGGGAGGTACTTGAAATCACTTGATGATGAGAACCGCCACACCATAAAAGTGGCCTTTCTCGATAGGCCACTCGATGGAACTCGGATGCCTAGTGATGCCAATCAATTGTTGACGGCACCGCTCACGGGAAGGGGAGACATGAAACGGAAACTTTTTCCAACTGCATACACAGCAGACATTTAGATTACTGGCCATTGTAGTGGGCCACGCTTTAAACATGTTTCACTGTACTATGAGTCAGCCTGAGTCCCCCCGATTCAAGTACCATTGTACTTGGAAAAGGTGAAACTGATAAGGAAGTTCAGCACATAGATGTTAGGCGGAACTCCATACGGATCCCGCTCACACTCAGGTGCTGCAACGGCCGAGAAGTCCATCTCACGCGAGATCGGCCAAGAACTCGGGACGTTTGCCGATCCGGTATCGAGCTGAAGTCTGATTGGTCGAAAGCCGGGACCCAACAGCCAATCATGACCCAGCATTGGCCGAATGCCAGTTGCCCATGGCGCATCCAGAACGCGTCAGAATTTACAGAAAGTTATTGCCATCTACGCCATATATATACATAAGAGGCGCTGTACAAGTGCTCCTGACTTCGTTCTGGGACCTTTGGTGGTTGTTTTGACGTGAACGCCAGCTTGGGAGGCTCAGACCGAGAACTAAGCGGAGAAAAATACCGTTACTACAATAGATCACTTCCAAAATAAAACTGATGGGCTGATATGTGTTGTCTAATCGGCCTCTGACATCCCGCTACTGCACCACATGGTCTCTCTATCATTCATCGAAGAGCTGACCCTAAAAAAAAACACTTTGCCGAGAACAACAGCTGACTAGTGCGCAACTAACGTAACAAAGGAGAGAGAGGGGTTTATGAAAAATCCTACCTGCAGCCACACAAGCGGCTGGGGGCGCATAGCGTAGCGGAGGATCATGTGAACCGGATAAACTAGCCGTCTTATTCTCCGCGTCGGAAGACTTGGGTTGTCGCGGTGATAAGGGTGAGGTGGGATCTAATCCCAAGCACTCTTGAGTTCCAGGTTGCCAGCTTCCAGTAGCACCAGCTACTGCCATAGCCGAAGCAAGAGCCGCCGCGCTGATCGGTGATGTGCCAGATTCCGATGGGAGACTGCTTAGTCCGGCTACAACACTGGCCAACTGGCGAGAGGGTCCCAAAAGTGCCAACGAGTTTGTACTGCTTCCGTGGGACTCTTCGGTATTTCGCTTTCCGGGTCGCAGCAGGGCTCCGGAGCCAAGAAGACGTGAAGTTCTCAGCCGGCTCGCAAGTGACTGACTTCGTGAAGGAGTGCCAGAACTCCCAGCCAGCAAGGTCGAATCATCTTTGGTGAAATCGAAGTCTGAATCCGGAAATGGGAGAAGAATGCGTTGGGCAGGACTTTTGGACTCATCAGCACCCAGAATATTGGAACGCTTCAGAAGACTGTCTGTCCTTTGGAGGCCTTCGACAGCACCTGGAAGCGGGGAGAGAGAATTACAAAAAAACATTTAGTTTTATCAAACAAGGCTCAGAGAGACTTATCCTTTGCACAAACTTCAATCCGTTTTGCTTCAGTGGAACCCAGCACGATCGAAAAAGAGCTACCTGATAAGATGCCTGGTGAATTACAACCAATCGTTAGTTACTCTAATTGGTGAATCAGTCGATCAACTGTTCAGCTGTAGCACACTCTTGGGGTCCAGCTGCTATGCTGTCAGGGCTGATATAGTGCCAAGTTCCCCTAATCCAAACGGGAGCAGTTGAGATGCCGCGGTTGGGTTCGAACCGCGGACCTTTCGGTCAGTAAGTACACTCGTGCTAGCTCGAGCAGATTAGGAATCATAAGGCAATCTATTGAAATGTGTATCGAATCTCAACTGACATCACGATAACCCCCCCATTCATTTGCTCACTCTGTCCATGTACTTTTGATTGCCACATATGTTTTGCTCACATGCACCCGCGTCACTCACCTTGCCTGAAAGGCCGCTCGACAAGGTGTGTGTGAATGTGCGCAACTGACCCTCTTATTCATGTGTGTTCGTGCCCCCTTTATTGAACCTAACCGGATTGAGAACTCCCCGAGGAGTTTTCAGCAACCTTATGAGTAGTACATGACAAAGATATACATGTATCGCGATATCTCGAATATCAAAGCGACTGAAACAGGAGGCGGCCTGGTGCAGCACATTCAGTTGCCTGAGAACATCATAAACGAGAGATTCAGCTGGGTTCCAGGTGAGTCTCTCGAAAAGCCAAGTTAGTTTGCAAGCGAGTGTATATTCGCTAACCTGACTTGTTGTGTCATGAGCTCCGTTTAATCGTAACGCCAATCAGAATCACGCGATTGCCCTCGGAAGGGACGACCCACCGAGACAACACTCTGCACACCGTTCGGACACTGCCAGCCAGTGGCAGACTTGCGCACGTGTTGACGCCAAGAACGTGGACAATTTGAGTTTGTTATATAACTTTGTTTGCCTTTTTGTGATTTTCGAACCTTTTTGCGATTCGGGATTGTTAAACCTACGCGTGACACAAAGTTCTGTGTGGGAAACTTCAACAATGCGACCCTTTCGATCTCCCGCCATTCAAGTTGTCCTCGCGTAGGGTGTGACATATGCTATGTTGCACTCTTCATTCCCGCAATTATACAAACATTGCCAGTTAGCGAAATAGACTCATTTGCAAACTAATTTGGTTTTTCGAGAGACGCACCCGAATCTCTCGTTTATGATGTTCTCAGGCAACCGAATGTGCTGCACCAGGCCGCCTCATGTTTCAGTCGCTACGATATTCGAGATATCGCGATACATGTATATCCGCAAAACCAAATTAGTTTGCAAATGAGTGTATTTGGTTTCAAGTAGAACATGATGTTTACGGAAACTCGGGGATTGCGCCCCAACCTGATGATCCCCAAGAAATCGTTCAGCTGTAGCAACCTTTCGGTGACTAGCTGCCACACGAAGGTTGCACGAGGGCTGGGATACTGCCAGGTTGCCCAGGCCTAGACAGGGGAAGTCGAGAGGCAGAGGCCGGGTTCGAACCACGGACCTTCCGGTCAGTAACGCCGCGCTCTAACCACCTGCGCCATCTCGCCCCCAAGCCCCAAGAAGAGTGAAACCGGTCGCGGGCTGTCGACGAATTTTCACCAACCTCATGAGTAGTGCATTACAAACAGTCTGTTATCTGCGTAGACTGGAAACAGTTTTCTTGGTGGTTCAACTCAGTACATAAATAAAACAACTTCAGCACGTGCAGCAATGGGATTCACTCAACAGCACTTTATGAAGTGGATACTTGCATCTGCATTGGTCTAATTTTAGACGTCCCAGATGGTGGGAATCAGTGAACAAATGCAGGTTAAAAATGGTTTCGTTTTTAATAAGCTCTGTTCACCCAAACAATCCTTGTCAGTGATCGTTCCCCCCAGTGCGATGCGCAACTTTGGACAGTGAGAGAGTCGCGTAGGTTCGCACAAATGGTGAGGGAAAATCCACGACAAGAACGAAGCGAATCGACCCGGACTTGATCACTGCACCGACAAAGGGCACTATATCATGTCTGGGTGCGAATTAATCACATTGCTGATCAGCCACTCGTAGCCGAACGGTTAATTATTCAAACTACTAGCCGGGAGGTCGCGGGTTCGAGACCCTTCGGATGAAACAGCCGTATACACAATGCTTCTCGGCTTTTCGGCATAGATTGGCTTCACTTACAGGACGAAATCTCCACAAAAATCCCAAATCTCCTCGCACTACCAACAATGTCATGAAAATAAGGTTCAGTATGCGCTGTTGGACCAGTGCTTATCTCGCATATCAGATGTCCGGAATTCGAACTCAGGTACGGATATGCTCCACTGATAAGCTCTACTAGGAGCGAAACTCGAGTCCAGTGCTTCCCCCTTTAGGATGGACTCACCAGAATAACCACGCCAGGAGGGACGGTTGTCCAAACAAGGGTGTGAAACATGAAAACTAGTTCAGTGGTGTCTAGAAGCGATTAAAAGAGTAAGAAAACAACCTTAGACAACTGTCCGCTGATCACGATCCCCTGCAGCGGGTATGAAGGAACCAGTGCAATCGAGAGATACACTCATTTGCAAATCAATCTGGTTTTCACGAGAGACTCAATTGAATCTCTCGTTTACGATAATCTACAANGTTTCGCCCTTCTTGGAGCTCATCAGGTAGGCGCAGTCCCGAGTTTCGGTCAACCCTATCGTTCTACTTGTACCCAAATTGGACTGTCTTCGGGAAATACACTCCCTTGCAAATCAATTTGGTTTTCACGAGGGACTCAACTGAATCTCTCGAAACCGTTTGTGGGCTGTCGAAGAGTTTTCAGCAATATTGTGAGTAGTTTCCTTTATGAAAACCAGTGCAGTCGTTCTCACAAGTGCCGACCCCAGACAGGGGTCCGTTGCAAATTAGAGCCCACTGCTCTCCAAGTGAGTCAGGTGTTCAGCTCTGACAGCCAGTTGGTACTTAGCTGCCATACCACCCAAAGGAGTCACACGGATTGAGACACTTCCACGCCTAGACAGGAGCAGTCGAGATACCGGGATCGGGTTCGAACGAACCAGCAATTTCTCACCGAGTTATCGCGAGCTCATTACTGATGCATAGCCTGCGTCACTACAAGGGTTTAGGTCTCCCTGGTTGAATTAGGTTTGAGGTTAGATCAGTGGCACGCTTTATCATCAAGTGAGTCTAGAGAGCCTGAGGGCTGGTGAACACACTATGCGTAATGTCTAAATCACAGTTGACGAGATTCTTCATCATGCAGTGTAGAATGGTATCATGTTGTAAGTTGCAATTTGGTAAAAAAAAAAGCTTGTCCGAGTCCCCATGCCTAACCGCAAGTATGTGCGGACCGAAACCGCAAAAAAGATGACGAATCGTAACAAATGATCCTTCCTGTTAGCTATCAGGTGCACTGGAGTCCCCAGTTTTACTGTAAAGAAGGATTCGTACAAGTATACAAAAGTTATTTTTGTCCTTTTTTACTGTCTTACAAAGAGGAGCAAACTGCCGCAGCACCAATTTGACCAGATTTATGTCTCCAGTGCAAAAAGTCTGATAATGGAACGCACACGCTTCCAACACAAATATTAGCGGAAGGACCGAAGTGTGGACCGTTTTTGAAACATCGTGCGTGCCTTGGCATCGTGTGTGTGGGCGAGGAAGATAAAACTATGCTTGTCCAGTTCACTTTCTCCATCATCCCTCTGAAGAGAGATTACTACAAGTTGGTCACTTCAAGAGTTATCCAAAAGTGAACTTCCTGGTTGGTATTTGGAGGTGCAAATCGATTATAAAGGAAGCTACTCACAAGGTTGCTGAAAACTCTTCGACAGCACACGAACGGTTTCGAGAGATTCGGTTGAGTCTCTCGTGAAAACCAGATTGATTTGCAAATGAGCTTGAACCTTGCGAAATGTTTTTGAGTTTCCATTGTCGCATCTCGTCGTCTTGAAAACACTACTCATTTACCTCCTCAGCCCAATAGCAAATGGCAGTGCTCGAACTCTGGTACAAAGGGTTGCGGGTTCTAATCTCCCTAACGATCTCCAAATAGCTGCACGGTGCTTCTTGGCTTATCAGCCCACAAGCATAGCCTTTAGGTTGCCTCACTGATTGCATCCTTGTCTTGTTGAAACACAGAGAACTGTCGCCCCCAGAGGTCACGAACAGGTTCATTACACACAAAAAATCTCCAGGGGCCAATCCAAACAGTCGATATGATGAGAGCCAATTGATGTTTGAGTGTCAATGTGGACGAATGTATTTTTGAGGGCGGTGTACTTTTTTATTCTTCACGATAAAAATGGTGGGAAATAATTTTGAAGTACATTGAGGTGAAACAATCAGGCAGGAATTCTATCCGATGTCGGAAGGAGACACTCTGTTGTGAACCACAATAGATCATATGTTTCTGGGAAGTCATTTCTGATTGAGCAATATCTAACCAACCAGATCGCTCAAGCGTGAACACGTTCACTCGTTTAGACGTGAGAATTCAGATGCATCCAACGTGCGTCGGTGGAGTAGTGGTAACACGCTCGCCTCGCATGCCATGTGTCCGGGGTTTGAATCCCGGCACGGCCATTGGATATGCACTGCTGATGAGCTCGAATAAGAGCGAAACTCGAGTCCAGTGCTTCCCCTTTTTGGTGTGGACTCACCGCAATAATTACGCCAGAACGGGAGGACGACTGTTCAGACGACAGTGATGTGAATGTGAACAATATCCAACCATCAAGAGCAACCAGCTCAAAACATGCAAGTCGATATTTCGTCCGGCACATGAGACCAACCGAAAAGTACGGTTCACCGGCCACATACTTGCTCACAGTCGTCACTAGAACGGATCACAAGAATCCTCGGGGAGACTCGAAACCGCAACCCTAGTTGGATTATTTACAGTTTGTACAACGTCAGTACTCCCCAACCACATCGTTCA